CTCCGCCCGATTCCCTTTCATCAAGAAAGTTCCGGGGCCGATATATCCCAACTTCGGACCCAAGGGTCTGATTGCCTCGGTCAACGAAGCGCGCGAGAAAGGCTCCCAAGTTATTTTTATAACTTTAAACGAGGTTTCTTAATTGGAGCGAAATTAAAACGGCGCAATAATTACGGACACCGTTGCCAGACCGCGATTTGAATTTTGGTTTTGCATCAAGGCGTACAAGGTGTTTGGAAATTACCGCACCATTCTTCGGGCCGATTGATTTTTGGACTCCGAACTGCACTCTTCGCGGGTAACATTAATCATCGATTGTATAAGACCTCGTAAAAAACAGTCGCAAGGATTGTTTCTAATGTAAAATACGTTTGAAGGAGCTTGAAGCATAAAATCACATGCTTCATACAATGTAGTTACGATTGATTTGCCTTATGAAAGTTCCTTTGAACACTGTTTTCTGGGTGCTGAAGATCTTCAAAATTGAGGATCCCCCCCCTCCCCTCCCCTAAGGTGTCCACAACAAGCGTTAGATTATTTCAGAGTGTCAAATGTTAGCAAAAATTGATTCTCTCAGTTCAAAAACGACCCATCTCAGAAAGTTTGAAATTTTTCAGTCAATAAAAACTGCGTAACAGCCAGTAAAGCAGTGTTTCTACGGAACAAACTCGAGTTAGGTCCTTTTCGAACTGAGAGATTCAATTAGTTTTAGCGGTAATTTTCAGGGCACTTTTCATTTTTTTGTGGCTTCACCAGTTCACTTTCTCCAGGAACGGCGCTGCGTTGGGAGAGATCTCTACTTTGGGAATGGGCGAATGGGTGCGACTCATTAAGTTGCATACTACTCACTGATGAAAGGATAAATATTTTAAACCACAAAAAAGGAAGATGCGCCAAATATTACTGCCATGACTCAACTTCCAATAATATTTAACTGTTTACATGAGAGTCAAGAACAATTTCCAGGGGGAAATGTTCAATTATGACGGGTTGTAGCGTAAAAAAAGCAATTCCAAAGAAACTTTTCATAAAACAAAAATGCCTAATTTGGACTTCGAATATACGTCAAGGAAAAAAAGAAAGAAACTCTGGAAATGGATGTAACTCATTAAGTTGCATACCACTCACTGATGAACGGATAGATATATTAAACCGAAAAAAGGAAGGTGCGCCAAATTTTACTTCCATGACTCAATTTCCAAAAATATTTAACTCTTTAAATAGAGGACAGGAACGAATTCCGGGGGCAAACGTTCAATTTTGACAGGCTCTAGCGTGAAAAAAAAGAACAATTATAAAGAAACTTCCATACCACAAAAATGCCTAATTTGGACCTTAGATGTAAAGGCCCCAATTTAAGACCCATTAACTGCCTAACACCCTGTATGCAGGAAACATTTCCGAGCTTTAGCAGTCTGGCAAATGCCGATCGCGGGACACGGACGGACCGTAGACGGAACTTTGGGCCAACTTTTCGAATAAAAGCGCGCGGTGTTTTTTCGACAACTTAATGAGTGTTTCCATTTCGAATGCGATAGTTTCTCATTATTTTTTTCCGCCCCATGTAAATGCACTCCCTCCACCTCTTGTTTTTGTAATTAATTTCTAAGTTTTCGGATTGTTTCCGTCTCGAGTTTGAGAGTCGCGGGGGGGGGGGGGGAGGAAGGCGAGTGGGGGCTTTTCCCACTTTTTCATCAAATTAAGCCCTTGATTGTGAGGGAGCTTTCAGGTTCCCGAAAGCTACTCGTGCCCTCTCGAGAGACCTTCTCGGCGGAACCCGCTTAATTTTTTATTTCATAATGTACCGCTAGGCTCGGTATGAAAATAAGCACAGCAGTGCGTGTTTTCTGACCAAAATTTCACGGAAAATACGAAGAGAACATCGAACTTTTCAAAGCTGACTTATCAGTTAGGTGAATAGAGTTTGATAATGTGCTCGTACACCAATGCTCTCTCCCGCACACATAAAAATCAAGGCTTCTCGAATCAAATTGAATACTAACCTAATCTATGTTCTACGATGGAATACTTTTTCTGTGAGCTAGCTTTTTTTGCAAGATAAGAGGTACCTCATGGAAAGGCATTTTGTACTCGAAGATTCTTTCGTAAAAATTGATACGATAATTATTCATGAAAGGATTATTTTGTTCACGATGACTAATTTGACGCGTTTGATTTTCGGTTTTTCTCTCGGGGAGAATTTTGAATTGCTAATTTCAATATCAACAACAAGCACCCATCTGTAACTAGAAAAAAAATGTTTATTAGGTCCAGAGTCCAGGCTCTTAAAAATTTTGATAAAAAAAAATACTCTTGATTCAATCGGATTTTCGCTTGAGTCGAGAGCCAAGCCTCTGAAGTATTTAAGCAGATTTTTGTTTGATCCAAGCAAAAATCCGATTGAATCATGAATATTTTCCGTTGTCAAGTTTTTTTTAAAGAGTCTCGACTCTAGATCCAGAAAACTTTAATATCCAGTGCAAACTTTAGAATTGATACATGGACTTTTCGACTATCCAACCGTGTTTGACGTCAAATTGTCGCATGAAACACGTCTTGTGGTCCTTTAATGTTTACCTACTCTGTGTGATGGTCCAACATCATAAAAATTCCATTATCATATAACTGCAGACTTAAAAAATTGGGATCTTTCCATCCAAATCGTCCTAATATTATACACTGGAAAAAAAAACACATTGGATCTAGAGTCCAGACTCTTAAAAACATCGGCAAGAAAAAGTACTCTTGATTCAATCAGAATCTAGCTTAAATAAAAAAACAAGCATTTTAATTTAAGTGGATCACGTTTTGATTCAAGCAAAAATCCGATTGAATCAAGAGTATTTTTACTTGTCAATGTTTTCAAGAGTCTAGACTCTAGATCCAATGTGTTTTTTTTTTCTGGTAACAGTTGCAGGTAGACCACCGTGCGCAGCGGTGAGTCGCGACGCAACGTAGTCAGAAATTGAATTACACTCAAAGCTCAAATAAAATATTACGAAAAAGCTTCTTCCGGGGACGAATCTTTCGGGTTTCACCCGACCCCCGCCACCCACCTCCCGGGTATTAAAAAATGCATCTATACTGAAAACGCTCAGGGTAGCTTGCGACGGGAAGGGCGGAGTAGCCGGAGGGGGGGGGGATCTACGCGCGCGAATTTGAAAAGGCACTCGACGTGAATGAAAAATTACAGACGTGATGCGAACAAGAGACG